ACCCCAACGCCGTCTACTCGGCTGGAAACGCGGGCCTTGGCATCGATCCCTTCTTCACCGCAGATGACGTGAACCCCAGCGTCAGCTCCTTCTCTGGCTTCCCCATGTGCGTTCCGCGCAGCGCAAACGACCCCCTGTGCCCCATGAGCAACCGTCCCGGTCTCAAGCAGGGATCCATGTGAGTCTTGTCATCCTCTCTTCGCCTTGTCGTCAGTCGCTAACGCCATCAATAGCCCAGCAGCGGATGCCAACGTCATGGCTCCATTGATCGCCGGTGACTTCATCACCTTCTCCGGCTACCAGACTGGTGGCAAGATTGTCGTATTCGAGCTGGTAGCTTTCAACATCCAAATCACCACGACCGGTATCCCCACATATGTTCGCATGGAAGATGCAAACATTGGTGTCTGGACAGCCGACACTGCCAATCAAGAGGTCGCCCAGACCAGGGTCAGTACTGACTCTTCCGCGTTTTCGACAAAAACATCAACTAACCTCCTCTCAGTTCGTCGGTTACACTTCCGACTCCGCAACAACCGTCAACCCCATCAAGATCCAAGCGATCGACTACGACCGCTGCACTGGCCAGCCCGTCTACCGCGACATCGCCACCGTCAACGTCCCCAACACCGAGCCTCGCAACAAGTTCGAATACCGCACCACGTCCGGCCAGAAGGTCCTCTACGCCCGCGAGTACTACATCACCGCCGCCAACTTCAACAACAACGCCACCACAAACGGCATTCCCGCCGGCTCCTACGTCACCCCCGTCACCGAATGGATTCAGCCCGAGGACTCGACCCCCGGAAGGGCCCCGACCGGGCACGACTTCAGCAGCTATGGCTGGATGATCAACGGCCTCGGCCGCGACGCTGACGGCAACCTCTGGGGCCCCCTCGACCCATTCCCCCAGTCTGGCGTTACCGTCTACGACAACTCCCAGTGTCCCCCCGCTGCTGCTGCTCCCGTCACTCCTACCACAACACCTGCTGCCACGCCCAGCTCCACGAGCTCTGCCGCAGCAGCGGCGACCAGCAAGCCCCCCGTCGATACGGTCACCATTGCGACCTCATCCAACTGGGCCTCTTCTGGCGGCGGCACTCTTACTGTCCAGTGCATCTCCAGCAACACCAATGACAACCTCGTTAATATGAAGATGTCCTACACCAACAAGGACGGCACTTCCATTCTGTCCATGACCGCCGCTAACACTGGCAAGGGTGTCTGGAACTTTAGCGCCAACAAGATCAAGCAGCCGACCAGGGTCACCTGCACCAGCAGCTTAGGCGGCTCTGCCTCGAGGACGAACTGGTAAAGCTGTTTGCTTCGATTTGGATATGCCAGCTGGTTTTCTTTTCTTTCGCATTTCTTCTCTTCTTTCCTTGTGTTTCAACTATAGTATAGCTATGGACTATAGACCATTACGAATGACGACTATTATGACATAACCTCTCTATAACGTCGCCATTGGACATCCGCATCCGTTGATTCATAATTTCCCTGTTCAATTTTCATCTTCATTTTCAGATGATCATTCCTCGTAAAAATGACATTTACGTAGGTCTACCAGCAGGTCTCCTTCCGTCATCTATTCAACACACGTTCTCAGCTCCCGACGTATCATTTCCACCACACCACACTCAGACCAGAGCTGAAGCGCTACTCGTCCCAAAGTCAATCATGACATCCGCTTTGTCAATCATCTGTCATACCCATCCATGAAATGACTCTCGTCGTGGTCAGAAACGCCACCACCAACACCGCCGCTAGCAACTTTTAAAGCGTCACGCGAAGCCCGAGCCACGTCCGCCGTCGCGTCAAAACTTCCCATTTCCATTTTGACGCGACAACGTGGCTGGCTATAGCGTCGGAGCGCGCCGAAATTGCGCGGAGCAAAGACACGGAACCGAATTCGTCAGGTCGCCGTCGCCGCACCCCAGGGGCAGTGTTCCCTCATAGATGTCTTTCCAGAAGGGGGTATCAGCATTAGTCTATGGATCGGTATATGAATAGAGTCCTGACTCGGAAGGAACTAAGTCATTCGGAGAAAAGGGCAGGCGAAGAAACAATGTTTTAAGCATACTCGGTGCACGTGTGATCTGTCAGCATGGCGTTGATGTGGAAATGAGAGATGCAGTGTGTCAGTAATTAAGCTTAACCAGAATAGAGTGATGCAGTTACGTTTATGGCTATTTCATTTTAGACCAGGAGGCGGAGTTGGTTCAGAATGTTGTGAATTCAATTTGCATTCTAAACAAGAAAAAAACCCAAAGGCATAGAAATGGCGCATCAACATGGCTGCAAGAGTGACAAAATCGTAAGTAAACAAATAACCCCCCTCTCCATCATCTCTCGTCCTAGAGGTGGGTATTGCCCAACCCACGTACAAGAAAGTCCCAAAGTCGTAGTCTCACCAACCCATCTTTCCCCCCTATTCAAGGACCACCAGCACGACCGTTAAAGTCCCAGTACGCAGAGCCCAAGCTGCGGCAGAACTGGGCCCCGACAACGCAGTAGTAGCCGCCGCCGGCGTTGTTCGTGTTGGGCGAGCGGAGGACCAAGGGATCGCTCAGCGACCGGATGAAGCTGCACGTGTTGGTCGTGCCGGCGCGGACGGTGTAGGCGGTGTGCGCGGTCCGGTACCACTGGCAGACGGTGTTGCCAGGCTCGGTCTCGCAGCCCTGGGAGACGGCGGCGGACCACGAGACGGAGACGGAGAAGCCGCCGGTGATCCACTCGCTGATGCTGCCGCCCGTCTCGACGCTCCAGCCGACGGAGACGGACTTGGAGGTCTCGGTGCCGGTGGAGCAGGTTGCTAGGCCGCACTCGTTGTTTTCCTGGGTGGGTGTCTTGTTAGCTACATGCCCCTAAGTTCTTGTTTGTGGATCATGAACATACAGTGATTTGAGAGTGATAGTAGTTCTGGTGAGGGTTGCCGTCCCCAACCAGCTCAGTCCACTTCTGAGGGTAGCACCCTTGCCTCTTTCGGATCTCACGCTTCTCGGAGTTGGTGTCGGTCTCACCCGAAATGAGGAACGGAATCGGCGCAATATACCGCGCCTGCAACTCCTGCTCCGGGTTGCGAATACGCAATGCCCTCGCCATCGTAGTCTCACCATCGGGGATACACTCATGCCGCCTGCTCAAGCTCTGGAACGCCATACCAGCCGGCACCGCAATATCGCACGAGACCACGGACTCACCGCCGTCGAACAGCCGCCCGCAGACGATACCACCGGAGATCTCCTTCTTCTCGTTGATCCTGTACGTCGTGGAGCCGACCGTGACGGTGCCGGCGCCGGTGCGGTCGACGGCGAACGTGATCGGGAGCGCGGTGAAGGAACCCGTGTCGAGGGTGTTGGAGCACGCCTCCGCGACGACGGTGCCAGCGGAGAAGACCTCGACGGAGGTTGCGGTGGCGCATTCTTGGTAGACGACTTGTACTTGCTGTAGCTGGGCTTCGTCGCGGCGGTTGAGTGCGGGAGCGGCGAGGGCGGAGGAGAGGAGGGACGCGGTGGTCAGGATTGCGGAGAGGCACTTCATCTTGATGGAGTGATTGCGGGAGAGATTATTCCTGGGGAGATCAGAAGTGAGGGTAAGAGGGAGTAGTTGATATGAAGATAGTTGTGTTGATCGAAATTGAGTAGAAGTGATGATGCTTGTTGTGATGAGTAGAGGTGATGATGTTTGATGCGATGAGCTTGTGAGTGATGAGTAGATTGATCTAATGGCAGACAATGTGTATTTATGTCTTTTAGTCTCCAGATGTCTGAACAGAGATCAGAAGCATCAATGCAGTTATTCGTAAGTTTTCTGGGCAACTCGCCCAGCTACTGAGGCCGTGCAACTACGCCTCCTTCCCCTCGAACATTTCGGGCACAGTTTCGATGAGTCCACAAGGCGAAACATCTCACGATGCATGGTTTGATCAAGATTGACTCGGATTCTAGGTGTATCTCATCCGACATGTCCACCTGGTTGAGGCTAAAGCTGAGTTCGTTCTTGTTGGATCCCCTAAGCTTGTGGATAATGACGTGAGGTGCCGCATGAGCCCCGGCACGCAGGATCAAATTCTCGAGTCAGCATTTGGGAGCTACGACTTGGCATTTCGTGATGTCTCAGGGTTTGATCAATCATTCTTCATCTTCTAATGCTCCGATACTGCTTGTTAGCGGTTGGTGCCGCGATGAGAAGCCTCAACTCTGCCTTCCCACGATAGCCGAGGCCAAGTTCGCCCCCCGTGAGCCCCCAAGCTGCCAGAATGCGGCGGGAGCTACTATTTTCAGGTCTTCTTCGATGGGGCCTGGGGGAACCATGTCTTTTGCATTTGAGGCTTAGATATGGCTCTGATTACCCCAGAATTTCTGCAGCAGTGGCGCCAGCTGCTGGCTTCAGTCTTCCCCAGACAAGCGATAACCCCTGTCTTCAACTTCCAACAATTAATGCGTTGGTTTGCGAAACCCCTGTTTTTACGCCTGGGGCTAAGGCTTGGCTCTTGTTGGAACTCGAATTTCTACAGCTAAAGCGTTGGTTCACAACTTCCAACAACACTTATGTGGCTGGGCATAATCCCTGTGTGTCGTTGGCCCCCAGGCTTTTTGCAGGCGCAGTCACCAACAGATTTCGGAAAAGACTACACCGAACACTATTCCAACGCGAATTTCAGCCAATGAGAGGACGCCAAGGCTACGAAACTTTTACCGTGCCAATCAATTAGCTTAGTATGCGCCTTTCACGATGCAAGTTAATGGGGTCAGGATGTTGTTGTTCTGGGGGCCGGGGGGCGGTGACAAACAACAGCTCACCACCTCGCCAAATTGAGAGGGCTGCGGAATAACCGTTGTCCATGGGTGCACATACAAAAGAACGCCAATTGTCTTCTCAAATCTCAATAGACCCGCACTCATTTTTCAAGCTCCAAACAATTCTCAATCTCATTTCTACTCCCGCCCCCGGGCCATCGACTGCTCAGCTCCACTCCGCCTTCACCACTTGCGAATATGGCCAGCATGTACGTGACTGCAGTTCCCGAAACCTGCCCCACGAACGAAATACCCGATGCCTTGCCAATTCCGAAAGATATGACATATGTAGTCATTCCTGGACATAATGTGTCGGACCCGTGGATGGTCAACTGCTGCCATCCCAACCCGGTGAACCTCGTGAACAAGTGCTGGGAGTGGTGTCAGGTTCCCGACACCATCAAACAGGACAGGGACGAGTCGGAAATTTTGTCGGTCTTCAGCAGTTGTCTGCGCGCTGAAGGAAAGAACGCGAGCCTCTCCAACGGAGTCCAAGTCCGCTCTGCATCCCCGCCGCCGAATCGCCCCATTCCCTTTGCAGGGCTGTTTTTGGCGACACTCGCGGCATGCACATTGGGTTTGGTGGTTTGAGTTCAGCTCAGATGATGTTCATGGGCGAGGGAGGAGGTTAGGCGTGGCATTGGGGAGTGCTTGAAGGAGATGGGATTACGGCAAGCGAGAACTCTCTTCACATCCATTCAACACGATTCTCCAGGAGCCGCAAACGTTAGTCCTTCAGTAGCAAAGGCGCACCGTTGATTGTCAACGCGCTAACATCCAATGCCTCTACAGCCGTAATCGAGAAACCGTCACCGCCAGTCTTGGAACACGCATCGCAGACGTACATGAGGGGCCGACCACCTGTCACCAGTGACAGTTCATACGAAGGGCATTGGTACAATTCCACTATGCACTTGCTGCCTGAAGACGTCACCCGTTCCGACATGACCTATTATGAAAACTTTCCAGACAATACCCAACAAATGCAAAGCTCTATTTCGGTTGTTTCAAATTCTTGTTACCAGCAAGTTTACTTCTTGTACGCTCAAGACGCATGATTACATTTAAATATTGATGATCATGCGGCCAACGATGCCCGCGCTTTGGTTGACTACGTTGTATTAAAAGTAATGAGACATGGGTTCGACTTTGAACTGATGGTGTTACTACTCCTGGCAATAACATGCTTGGGCCATCTATTATCGTAGATGTGTCTTCTTCAATTTGAAAACCAGTAGTTTCACGTGATTAGCCTGGTATGTGTCACGGGCTAGAGCCCGGATTGATATCTCCGGCTTCGCCGGAGCAGTTACCGAGATCCGGCTCCGTTGGACCCACTATTCTGCCGCAGTACGCCGCCTAACCCAGCCTGCTTCACCGCTGTTAGGTGCCTACCCTTGTAAAGTCCTTTCTTCCTTCTTCAGCTTAGAATAGTCAATCGACGGCACCTCTACGTTGAACAAGCCTAGGGGCCAGCCCCTTACAGTATGGTCAACATTATGCACTCCAAAATGCATGCGAAACGTGACGCGCCTGCTTCTTATCAATTTCATCCTCAGTTAGATCTTCCATATCTCCTTATGCAATGTTGTTTCGGTGTTCCACTGACCAAGGTATCTCATCGCCTTTAACCGAAAGGACGGACAGCGCGTCCTACGTCGTCATGCTAACGACTTCAGAACATATGATGTAAGACAATCAGCGTAAGCTAATCCGATAAGGCTATCCGAGTTTCGTATTCTTACATACGAGTGAAGAGGACGATGAATCGTTTGTTGTGCCCTATGCTATTTTGCAGTTGTCGATAAGTTGCGTCAGAACCAAGAGCAGACTCCTGTAAGCAATTACATGCAGACATGAGAAAGAAGATGCAATAAGCACCAGGTGTTTAAAACAAGGACAAAACAACCTTGAGATTCGATTTTGATGACATATAAATGAATGAGCTATTTCTTTGAACTAATTTTGGAGTCGACGGCTTAGCATGTAGCATCACATGAATCAATGATGGTGTGGCTCGTACACCTTTGAGATTCTGCCCAAGTAAACATAGCCACGGCGGTTCAGCGCTGCCGCTAGAGCCAATAAATCAAATAACGCCAAGATTTGACTGATTTGATTGCCCCTTCGCCAGTATTGGTTGATTTGCCCTGTTGGCCAATATAACAAAGCAAATCCATAGAACACGTGACCCAAACCCGCTAATACAGATTACCTATTAGGAAATAAATGAAGCTATTCACAACCGGTCATGATCCCATCAATAAGCTAACCTCACTCCCCACAGGCATAACTCTGCCCTTTAGCCAATTCTTCGTCAGCTGCAATTAACCCATAGTCTAAGGCTTTATTGAGTGCCTTTGCGACGTCAAGGTTAACTTCGCAGTACTGAATGCCCTCTCACAGTCAGTAGCCATAGCTGGTGTTACTATCACATCAAGTGCTAGTCTACTAAGTAGAGGGTATATTAACTTATGGTCTCTCCACCACTTAATAGGATCGCCTGTAGGTTGAGGAGGTAGCTTAAGAAGTCTCATAACCATGTTTACTCTATACCTATTACCTGAAGTGGCTGTCTTTGTGGGATAGAAGTGTTACGACCCGTTATGCATGGATAACAGTTGACCAACCCCACTTGGGCGTCGGGCGGCTAGGACAGGACATTTGTACTGCAGGATCACGGGAACAACAGGAACTCACTCGGTAACGGAAGAACTATGGTCTAAGTCACGTGATGATAAGATAACGATCATATTGGATCAATATGATCCAACACGACTTGGGGGCCAAACGATCATTCTGGATCGGAATGATCCAGATCGACCCAAGGTACAAAGGAACATGTTCAGAATTAGACTTATATATAATGACCCTGAGCCTGGCTTATGGTCAGACTTCTATAGCTCTTCAGCAATCAACTTAGTATTCATCCTCACGGATACTCTCAGCTTACCTTCACTGCGAATCACTTGTTGAGTCTAAGACTGATCACCTTAGCCTCTGAAGACCCGATCTACTACAGCCTACAAACTACGACCTACGACCACAACCTAGTGTACTGTTCGAACGTATCAATCCCCAGCTTCTGTTAGCAGACCCTACTGTCAGATAGCTGACCGTAACACTTTGATTGCTCCTATTCAGTAAGTTAACTATTAATTCCTACTAATAGTAACGAACGATAATATCTTCCCACGCCTCTGTTAAGTCGCCTACCCTGGGATCCTCGTCCACTTCAGGAGGACGAGCCACCTAAAACCTAGCCCAGGAACTAGGAGACCAGAAGATGAAGGACGACTCAGACAGCAAGGACGACACCAAAGAACTCAAGCGCCAGCTCAACAAGACCAACAGCGACTTCAAGGCAATGCGCGAAATATTCAACCAGAACGCTGCAGCCCTTAGCGAACTCCAGGAATAAGCCTGCAAGAACCAGGATCTGGAGAAAGAAGTCGCCACCCTCCGAGCTGCCGCTAACGTCATATCCGCCCCAGTCGAAGGATGAGAACGCCTCAAGCTGAACACGCCTTCCACTTTCGATAGGACCCTAGGACAACTTAAAGGACACCTAGTATAAGTTCAGACCTACTAGGCCTTCTATATAAACACCTTCCAGAATGACACTAAATGCGTTATATATATAGCCACCTTCCTTTAGGGATAAGCCCTTGCCTGGTTCGAACCCCTTCAACAGGAATAGCTTGACAACCCTGTCGAAAAATACAGCTAAGAAGTCAAGGATATCTTCTTCAGCTTCACAGGCTATATCAAGGCCCTAGAATCTCTCTTCCTTAACCCTAATAAACGAAGACAGGCTGAGCGAGACCTATCCCACCTACGACAAACCAAGTCAGCCACGCTCTACGCCGCAGAGTTTAGGCGATTAGCTGCAAGACTCCACATAACCGACGAAAGCAAAGTTTTTGCCTTTTATCAAGGACTTAAGGATGATATCAAAGACGAAATAGCCAAACTAGAGACACCTCCTAGCTTCCTCGCCTATATCGAACATATTATTAAGGTTGACAACCGCCTCTATAAACAACAAAAGGAACGAGGAGAGAAACGATAAAACCTAAATTCAGGACGTAAGTACTAATAGCAGCCTCAACAGAAGTTTAACAGCCAGCAGAACGACAACAGACCCTGCAACAACTGGAATAGCACCCGCCAGAGCACTGCCTATAGATAACACAGCAGACCTATAGATCTCAGCATGATGACCAAACCTAACAACAAAAAACCTTAGAACCCTAAGTGCTACAACTGCAATAAGCAGGGCTATATCGCTAAAGACTGCAGACAGCCTAAGAAGCTTCCCTGGAAACCAGTGGCAGAACAACCTCAATAAGTCAATATAATTGCAAAAGCCCTATATGCATCCTAATCGTGGACTAGATACTACGACGATAACTGCTGAATTCACCTCGAAGACAAAGAAATATCAGGACACTACCTAAGGGACAGCAACCCTGGACGGTCTGGTTACAATATGACCATCCCAGACACTCGCCCTAGGACCCTAGCAATAATGCATTCCAGCAACAGCAAAGTGGCTAGAAAACCAGTTGAACAACTTAACGAGATGCTATGAATTCAGCGATTAGAACTAATCACCCCCTGCATAACTAGCCAGCAACTCCACCATGAAGAACAACAAATCAAGAAGGAAATAGAGCTAATCCAGCAAGAAGACGACAGATAAGTACGACTATATTAACAACAAGAATCAGAAGAAGAACCAGAACACCAACATAATCCTCTGATAGAACAACAACTCCTCAGTATGACCAACAACTAGGCTTTCAGAGAAGGAGAAAGCTCTTCCTATAACTCAGATAAACCTCGCGACGTTGCCTGATAACGCGCTCAGACAAAGATCACCTATGGGTTCACCCCTAGTGTGGACGACTCCAGCTCTGAAGAAGAACCTGACGACCAGGAAGGAAGAATCAAGCAACTTCTGAGATACTAAGAAATCGATATGCTTTAAGACAAGCAATAACGCCACTTCTATATCACCTCAGCAGCCTAATGAGACTGAGGCTACACCTCTCAGCTATACACAGAAGATCATCCCACGCTGAGAAGCAACCACCAGCTTCACTAAACCCTCTTCTGGCCCTAGTGTTTTCACAACAAATATAAGGAATATATAGGAGAAAAGCATAACTATCAGTTCTACCCCAGAAGATATAACAATAAACCTATCTATAAGATTTACTTAATATCTATTATGATTAGATAGACTATAGTACTATTTAAAGACAGCCTTACAGTCTTTAGACCTAGCCCTCAGTTCCCTATGAGATATCAATATAACGACAGTATGAAATAGAACGAATGCTAATGCGACGAATGCTAAGTCTATTACTAAGATGAGGCCTGCGCATAGAGAATCATAAAAAATAGACCAAGACCCCCTCAGGTCAAAATCTGTGAGAACAGCCTCACTAAGGCAGTATGGGAAGGAAAACGCATCACCTACCCAGGACAACTAGAGCAGTTAAAAAACTAGACTTACCTACTGACGAAGAACCACGACAGGCAATAAGGAAAAGGTTTATTCACCAGATGTCATAAGGACATAA